ACTGTTCAGCTCAGTTTCTCTCTCCCATGGCTGAGGTCTGCGAGGACAGTGACACACTGCTGGGTGGAACACAAGAAGCACAGCCTTGGAAAGCTGTGCTCTCTATCCCCTCAGTCATGCTGACACATGGCACTTCCTAAATAAGTTCATTTTGCTTTCTTAAAAAGCTTTCCTCCTCCCTCTACAAATACTCACACAAGTCATTACATCACCATGCCTCTTTGTTCACAATCAATTAAGTTCATATCTATCACAGAACCACTGCTGCCAATAGAAATCTGCCAGTGAACAATGTAGCCCTGTTTAAATTCTTAAGACATGATCAATAACTAATATTAAAAACTCAGCATCTGGTGCTTTGTATTTTACGTGGATCCCAAATAACTTCAGATCACGCCAGGTACCGCTGGATTACAACATTTTAAGAAGAAAATATCTCCAGAGGTGATTCTCATCTGTTCAGAAAATACAAGAACAGCAAAGGGCTGGAAAATACCCAAGCGTGGCAGTTCTGTGGCTTTGAAGAATATTTGTTTGGCACTGTATTTACACAAACATGAATTTTTCTGTCTATGTTGTTCCACAATACAGGATGTGTATATAAAATGTCTAGCATGTGAATATTTCCTAAGTATTCACAACCTCCATTCTTTCCTGACAAGTTTTAGCCTGGGTGAGACAAATTACAAAGCCAGTGAAAAAAAACAACCTCTAGTACAAATCTGATCAGTCCTTCACTCTGATGATGCTGGCAAGTACCAGAGTAAAAAGACCTTTTCCCAGGAGAAACTCTGGAAACATGCCTCTAGATCATCATTTCCACACAATTTCAATAGGAATGAACCTTTTGTGTGTCAGAGAGGATTAACTTTTTTTGTTTCTAAACAACTTGTGCACAAAAGTTAATCCAAACCAGACAGGAGTCAATTAGGTCATTAAAATGCTAAGCCTATTAACAGCCAAGACTTAGATTTCTTTCCTGCAACAATGAAGAACATTCAGGAGTCTGCCTTTAAGTGGCAAAGCCCATGAGCAATTGCATTATGTTATGACACAGCTACTCCAAGCCGTGGCCGTTTGCACTGTGCAGCAGTCGGGTGCTTTGCTCCCTTTTTAGCACAACCAGCCTGTGCTCAACACAACCAGCACCCAGGGGATGTGAATTCTGTTCCCAGCTGTTTGGAAAGTCCTGTGTGATCCTGGGGCAAGGGCAGGGCATCACATAGTCCCAGATTTTTCTTACCTAGCTGCTGTGGGAAGGACTAAAGCTATACTGGTCTCACACAAGAGAGAGAGAAGCCCATGCCCTCTCCAAATCCATTCCTAGCTTAGCCCCTTAATTAGCATCAGGTCAGAAAAAAAATCTATCACAGCACAAGATCCATAGACTCAAATAATTTTTACATCAGACTATCAGGCTCCCTCTGCCTCGGAACTCAGACACACACTCAGCCTGTGTGGCCTGGACACCACCTCTGCATGAGCTGAGCCGTGGTAGTAGCATGTGCACGTGTGCTCTGAGCCCAGCACACAGGAGGAACCTCAACAACTTTGCTTGCAGAAGGGAATTCTAGTTCCTCAGGCTGTTGGTGGACTAGGAACCTAAAAAATATGTAATTATTTTTGCTGACACAAAGTTAAGTGCAATGACATCACGTCAGACCAAGGGTTCACCTCGCCCACGCCATGAGGTCCCTCAAGCTCAGGACCTGCCTGTCAGTCAGTCACCTCTGGGCCAGCCTGAGGAGGACAAAGCTTGCAAGGAGGATCCCAGCAACTGTGGGGTCTATTCACACTCCCTTTGGGACAAAGCAGAGAAGAGCAGCATGTAATGGGTCCCCAGAAGCCTGCAGGAAACAGTGGGTGCTACTGAGAACACTTCTTTTCAGTGTCACCTTTAGTGTCTTATTTTTTACATTTCTGATACCTTGGTACTCACTCACCTCCTCTTCCCATTTTTAATTCCATGTAATGACCCAGTTTCCTTTCCCTTTTCTCAGGGAGGAAATTTCAGTTCTGCCAGGGACAGGCAGCACTCTGCCCCTAGACAGAAGGTCAAAAGGTTCAATGGCAAAAGGATGAGGCAGATTTCCTGCCCTGATTTTGGTTCAATTCAGCTTTTAACTAATAGCTGTCTTATTTTACAGCGTAAGAATGTTGTCATGCATTTTCTAGTTTCTATGCTGCAGCACCTACAGTACTTGGCTAGGAAATCAAAGTGGTGCTGAATTTTGATGCTTCCTCTAAAAAGAGACATGGGGGATCTGTAACTCTAACCAGAGCCACGATTTCATACTCAAAGAATCAAAAAGAAGATTGGCTTAGTCTGAACCCATGAGAATGATAAACCTGCTAAACTGAACTACCAAGAGTTGAACTCCACCCAAGAGAAAATAAAGTTCCTGACTACAGAATTTACCAACAAGCAATAAGGAGGCAAACTTATGAGCAAGCACAGGAAATCTCTGCTGGCACACAGGCTTGGTTAAATACAAAAAAACAAGAGATAAAGGCAAACTTTAAGTTCATGGCTGCCTATTCCAGTCAGTTCCTTCAGACCTGTGCTTCCACTGCTGTTCCCAGTCAGGAAATCTTCTGTGCCTCCAGCTGCTGCCATGTCCCTTTATGTCCAAAAACCAGCACTTGCTCCTGACCACTCAACTGTCCCCATACTGGTGGGTTTTACTCTTGTACCCATGAAACCTGCCAGTCCTGCTTCCCATTTCGTCCCTTTGGCAGCCCAGTAGAAGACAGCGTGGATGTCTTGACCTGCTGCCCCTGTTTAGTATGAAGTCCATCCAGTAGAAGGCAGGAGTTGGAACAGTGGCAGGATAATGGGGCAGGAGAGGAATAAAAGGAACAAAATATACAGGCAAACTGAAACCTAAAGAAGAGATTCTGCAGAGTTCATAAAAAATACCCTCTCTGCAACCTACCCAGACAGAATTCCAGAAAGGATAAAATTCAATTGCTCCAAAGAAGCCAAAAACTAGACCAATTTAACTAGCTGATAATCTGACTGGCTTTAAAAGTGGGAGAAGACACAATATGATCAACGAATAGAGTTAGACATTTTCTCTTGAAAAGTGATAGGAAAGAACATCCACAGCTGTTTTACTATTAACACCAAACAAACAAAAACCCACCTCAAAATGAAAAGGGTGTGAGACAGCTGCATTTTTTCAGGGTTTCCACTGCTAAGCAATAGAATACCAGCAAGGTTTGCAGCAGCTCACAGGCACATACTCTGTAAGTGCAAAAATATAGTAAAGCTACTGACCTCCCATGGTGCCTTGACTGGAGGAAGGTGAAAGACTGGAGAAAAATACTGACAGAAGGACTGTCACCAAAGCAATGGATCTCCTTACTATTAGTCCCCCATTCCAATGGGGACTCTAGGGCTTAAAAATCAGATACAAGATTATAACTTTTAATTTAAAAAACAACTTTAATATTGTCACACTGGGTCATAACTGAAGACTGACAATTTGGAACACGCCACCAGCACCTCACATACCCATGGAGACCCCTGGAATCTAAGCCCAGGATCCTAACACTGGCAAGGTGTGTCAGCATGACACTGGAAACTGAATGCAGAGCATTACAGAATGTCTATTATTAACTACCAGACACACAATTAAAATCTAAATCATTGCCATTTCTCACAAAGCTGGTTCACCTCCCAACTCTTGTTATACTACAGAAACCCCACTGAAGCAATATATGTCATACAGCTAAACTATTTAAGCAGAAAAGCCCTAGAAATTGCTTGAGAGGTGGTTATGTGGTCCAGAGTAGCTCCACACACACAAGGCACATCAGCATTTCAGCTGCTATTGTATTTACAGCCAGCAGACAAAAACAAGCACTCCACCACCTAACTCTCACAGACTCCCTGCTGTCACAGCTCTAGCTCCTAGATTAAACTAGATTAAAGTCAGCCTTGGGATATCTAGATGAGTTGCTACCACATTTTGGACTCCCAAACCTGGGTTTGCAGATCTCAAGGAAAACTAAAGACCTTGAAAGTTTCTTTGCTGTCTCTGTGAGCTCATTCACTCTAACACAGGGCAAGAGGAGAAAAAAAATAATAAAAGTTTAATTTATCTCACAAAACCTTAAAGCAAACAATTTAATAGGTGCCACTCAAAGAGACAAAAAGTCTTCTAGCATGAGAGCTAGAGCTTAAGTTTGATGAGTCAAACACCAGAAAGAAAAAGCAAAATCAAGTTCCTAGTTAAAAAAAACCCTACCTTGCTCAACTCCATCTGGCAGTTTCAAACACACATAAGCCTATAGAAAAGCAATAAAAAACCCTAAAAACCAAAGTCTGCCCAGTTGACCACATACCCTGTTATATTCTATTATGAATGGTGTGCTCTGCTAGACAGAAGTAAAAATTATGACATGGAAGAAGCTGAAAAATAGATTGTTTTACAAAAGAAATAGTGCATCTCTTCCCCTCTCCAGGTATTTTTTCATCCTGTTATAAGCTGGATCCCTGGAGCTGGACTCCACAGATGATACTTCTAAATAAATTATATTAAAGTATCTGAAGTGCCACTTTCTGCACTCTGAAATGCAAGGATCACCATTCTATCCATGCCTACTTAGCACAACTCTAGTGAAAAGGTGAGACAAAAGAGCTCCCCTCACTACTGACTGCAGGTTCAAGATGTGGGCCTTTGCTAAAACCCTTGTGAACACCTTCCTGAGCAGCGGCCACATCGCGTGGTTAAAGCAGAAGTTTCCTCTGACCTATTGTAAACTTTATCTTCCCACAAATTGAATGTTACAGCATATGTCCCAACAATTTTTATGGTTGTGATGTGCCTCCTTCTGCCTGAAGTAGCAGCAGGATTCATCAACACGTGCCATTTTTCACTAGCTCCAGCTGCCTGAACGCTTAAATTACAAAATACAGACATATCAGGCAAAACAAACAGTTAAAAATATAATTACATGCTCATGGCTGTTCTCTTGAGCCACTTCAAGCTCACCTGCTACAACCTTGCAGTGCTCATCAGGAACGTGTGACTTCATGGGATGGCTGGGTTTTGTGGATCGTCTCCGCCTGATGAAGTGTTCTTTTCCACTAAATGAGGTCTCGGATGTATTCACTGGTTGTATCAGCATCTGCTCTGATCCAATTTGGATATAGCCAACCTGTTTTACAAAAAGAGAACAAAAAACCCCCATCAGATATTTTGGTACCCTAACCTTTTCTATCAGCCTAGTCTGAACCTAGACCATTTCACTGCAATCATTATTTACAGGGTGAGGAAATGAAAAGTTATTAAGATCATCTTCGTGCTGCACAATACAGACTAAAGAACTTCATCTGCTTCTCATGTTTATTTTTATATCACTGAGCACTATTTAGAAACATCACTGTGCACTGTACACACACAAAGGTAGGGGGTTTTTATCAACACCTTTCCTTTCCCTCCTTCCTCTCCCTCCAGTCTAGCTGAAAGCGTAAATATGTGTCTCATGAGATGCTCAGCTCACGCGCTCTCCCTGGAAGTCGTGGGTTGGGTTTCGGGGTTCAGACCAGGAATGGACTGGTGGATCTTCCTAGATTTTCCACCACCCCTGGAATAACTAACACAACGAAGGCAAAGACCCTGTCTCAGTAACAGTAGACTCCACAGGGCACAGGTCAGAGCTCTGAACCCCTGCCTTTCTTGCACCACATCCAGACCTTACACCAAGGCTGGCAAGAACATCTTTGGAAAGGCAGCTCCTGCCCCAGGAGAGCCCTCCTCTGCTGACAACCCAGGTTCTTCTATGCCTTTTCCACTCCTTTTCTGGCATGAAAAGAAGAGAGTGAAAGCAAAGATATCACTTTAAAACTTAACAAAGCCTCCAGGTGTAGTAATCAACACTGAGGTTATAACACATGGAGAAAGTGAATACATACAGTGAAGATTTCTTTCTGACTTTTCATTCTACTAATCCGATGATTATTTGTATTGCCATTAAAAGTCTCAAAATGCAGCTCTTTGCCATATACCTCCCTAAGACAACTCCCTAGGTCTGATCCAACTTCTCCTGTTAGCAAGAGGAGGCCTCAGCTGGCCTGCCAGGAGCCATCAGGTTGTGCCTATGCTACACCTTAGAGGTAACGGAGCTTACCAAGGCGTCCTGCTAGGTTGCATGCCTATAACACTCATCCTATACATAGAAAAA